CCCCGCCCGGGCTCGGCCTCGGCCGGCTGGCAGCAGGCTTCCCCCCCGGCCGCGTTGGGCCGCGCCACCTCCTCACCGCCTGCTCGTTTCCCTGTCGCCGGTCTCCTCGGCTCACCTCGCACGATCCAACAGACGCACTCGGCCTCCCGGGGGCCGGTCCGCCCCCGGCCAGAGGCCGGCTGGCCGCGGCACGCCTCACTCCGCCATCTTCGCTCCTTCTCGAGTCCACCAACCCTGCGGCGGGCCGGTTCCTCAAGCCCCGCCCCCACTGCGGCGGCTGCTGAGCACCGATTGGTTATCGGTTTGCTCGCGCGCGCTCTCCTTCCGTCATGGGTTGGATGGAATATACGTCAATCAATAGCCGCCCCACTCTTTCGATCCTTTTTTATGGGATTGGGTCCAGGGGTTGCGGTCATAGGGGAAGATGCTTTTGTATTTCATTTATTAAAAATGCAAAATTATTTCCGCGTAGAAGCAGTGTCACGCAGTGATGAGATAGTCTGGCTAGGCCGCATGACTATTTTAAGCCACTGTTAGGTTATGGGACTGGCCAGACGCGGTGGCTCACGCCTGTAGTTCCAGCACTTGGCGAGGCTGAGACAAGAGGATTGCCTGAGTCTAGGGGTTCGAAATCAGCCCGGGTACCATGACGAGCCCTCGTCTCTACAATAAATCAAAAAATTAGCCGGACGTGCTGGTGCGCGCCTGTAGTCCCAGCCGCTTGGGAGGCTGAAGTGAAAGGATCGCTTAAGCCCAGCAGGTCAAGGCTACAGTGGCCGAGATTGTGCCACTGTACTCCAGCCTGGGCGACAGAGTGAGACACTAACTCAAAAATAAAATAAAATAAAATAAAATAAAATAAACTATAGGACGAATAATTTAATTCTCAGGCCCACATCCAGGCAAAAAATGTGATGGTTCCATATTGTCTCTCACTTTGTTTGACCCATTTAGACTTTTTTTTCTGAGTTGGAGTCTCACTCTGTCGCCCAGACTGGAGGGCAGTGGCCGCTCCCGGTCACCGCAGCCTCGACCTGCTGGGCTCCGGCGATCCTTCCGCCTCAGCCTTCCGAGTAGCCGGAATTACAGGCATGCGCTACCACGCCCGGCTGATTTTTTGATTTATTGTAGAGAAGAGGTCTCACCAAGTTGCCCAGGCGGGTCTCGAACCCGCGGGCTCAGGCAATCCACTCACCTCAGCCTCCAAAGGCGCGGGATTACAGGTTGAGCCACCAAGCCCGGCTTTTTTTTTTTTTTTTTTTTTGAGTTGGCGTCTCACTGTCATCCAGACTGTAGCACAGTGGCACGCTCCCAGCCACTGCAGCCTCGCCCTGCTGGGCTCCGGCGATCTTTCCATCTCAGCCTTCCAAGTAACCGGAACTGCAGGCGCGCTACCACTCCCGGCTAACTTTTTTTTTTTTTTTTTGTAGAGAAGTTGCCCGGGCTGGTCTTGAACCCTCAGGCTCAGACAATCCACTCGCCTCGGTCTTCCAAAGTGCTGGAATTACAGGACTCTTAAAGGGTCCAAACGTTGGCCTGCTTTTTACAGCTCTATTAATACACGAGAGCAAATTTCACTTTTGAGAGCCCTCCTGCGAAAGAAAAACGTTTACAGTTGGCAGTTTTGTTTTTTCCTACACCCACCTGTAGGACTCTGAGATTCTTTCTTCAGTGATGGTTCCAGGAGAGGTTGATAGAGTAATGGGATGCCTCCTCTTTGGGGCTGTGCACCCTGAATAGGCACTGTTGTCCCACTGGGCTTCCCAAACACCATTGGGAATGTCATTGAAAGTACAGATTCCTCGGGCAACCCCTTCAGGTCCCCTCCCGCTGTGGGAGCTTTTCTGTCCTCAATAAATCCTGCTTTCTCCAGAAAAAAAGAAAAAAAGAAAATACAGATTCCTAATACTGTACCAAAACCACGTTTCTTAAGTCTACTGATGAGGATGAGGAATCGTTTTACAGAAGTTTGTTAAACCCGAGACTCTAATCAGAGAGAGAGAGACCACAAAGAGCCAGCTCCCATGCAAACACACGAGGGTCTTTATTCAGGCTCGAGTCTGGGCTCACGCATGAAGCCGGTAGAGGCTTCATGAACCAGAGCCCCAATCCACAATGGCAAGCAGTTTTTATGCACGATTACAGAGGGAGGGGAAAGAACTTTAAACTTGATTTTTCATGATTGGGTAATTTCTCCTAATGGGGATGGGAACACTTGGTATTGGTGGGTGCTGCCCGTGATTGACAGAAACCCACTTAACGGGCCGAGTGGAATCTTAGATAATTTAGGTCCATACAGTCCCTGCGTATGAA